GGACAGTCATTTCGAAATCTGATGGGGTGGAGTTCACTGTGGAAGAGGGTCAGTCTCATGTTTCCAAAATTTAATTTTTGTCCTTGCCATGTTATTCAATTCTGATTACAAGTAACGATATCAGGAGTATATGACCTTTGTTTTCTTCTTTTATGCAGGGTATTTCTGTCCTGCTTTGGCCAAGGCTGTGAAGACAATGAAGATGGGAGAGAAAGTTCTCTTGAATGTGAAGCCACAATGTGAGAAGACTTTTGCTATCAGAAATATTTATGTATACACGTTTTGCTTGTGTTAAGTTTATTGACATTATGAGCTTTGCTTCTTCTGCAGATGCATTTGGGGAGAGTGGAAGGCCAGCATCAGGAGATGAAGGTGGAGTGCCTCCAAATGCTTCGCTTCAAGTGGATCTTGAGTTGGTCTCTTGGAAGGCCGTGTCTGACATTACTAAGAATCGGAAGGTTCTAAAGAAGACTTTGAAGGAAGGAGAGGGATATGAACGACCAAATGATGGAGCTGTAGTTCAAGGTAAATGTCTCTTTTCAAACCCGTATCTTACTTTGTTCATTTAAATGTTCTGTATATTGGATGGGATGTTGAGGATACGTTGTTTCTTTTGTTGTAGTGAAACTGATTGGCAAGCTGCAAGATGGAACTGTTTTCATTAAGAAGGGCCACGATAATGAACAGCCATTTGAGTTCAAAATTGATGAAGGTACCTTGAACCTTGAACAATGGTTTTAACTTCATAGATAGCGAGTCTTTTTTTTTTTTTTTCCCCTATTACTATTTACTAAGTTGTTCTTTGGTCGACCATGTAGAGCAAGTAATTGAGGGACTTGATAAAGCTGTAAAGAACATGAAGAAAGGGGAAACTGCACTGGTGATCATACAGCCTGAATATGCTTTTGGTTCATCTGCGTCGCCTCAGGAATTGGCCAATGTTCCTCCCAATTCTACTGTATACTATGAAGTTGAGCTGCTTTCATTTGTAAAGGTGAGAGAATTATCCGGTCTAAATCTTCTCAAGGTTTTTGGGTTTTAATAAATTTGAAAGATAGACTTAATTACTGAAAATGGGGATGCAGGAGAAGGAATCTTGGGATCTGAATACACAAGAGAAGATTGAGGCAGCTGGTAAGAAAAAGGAAGAAGGGAATGCTTTATTCAAGGTTGGCAAATATGAAAGAGCGTCAAAAAGATATGAAAAGGTATCCTATAAACACATGAAGATCTTATTTATTTTACTTGGCTTTTGCTGGTGATGCTGTAGAAAAAATGTAACTAATAGTAGCTGTTCTTTTTCTCTGGTTGACAGGCCATAAAATATATCGAGTATGATTCCTCCTTCAATGATGAGGAGAAACAACAGACTAAGGCATTGAAAATTACATGCAATCTAAATAATGCAGCCTGTAAGTTGAAGCTAAAGGACTACAAACAGGCAGAGAAGATGTGCACTAAGGTAGGTTACTTTGTCTAATTCCACCTACATTTATCCTCTTTCCTTTAGCCGAGTTCTAGAAGAAAAAAGTGAAAATGACTGAAATCCTGACATTTTGTTTTACCACGTAGGTGTTGGAGCTTGATAGTAGGAATGTAAAAGCACTGTATCGGAGGGCGCAAGCATATATTCATCTTGTGGACTTGGACCTAGCTGAGATGGATATTAAGAAAGCCCTTGAGATTGAGCCAGACAACAGGTATGCTTTGTCCTCGGCCGTGATCATTAACTTGTACATGCAGTTATATATTTTGTTTATATTAACCTCCGTTGGATGTATATTATCAGGGATATAAAGATTGAGTACAAAATCTTGAAGGAGAAAGTGAAGGAATACAACAAGAAGGACGCACAGTTTTACGGCAGCATATTTGCTAAAATGAATAAACTAGAACAAGCAAGAACAGTAAAGCAGGAGCCTGTGCCAATGTCTATCGACAGTAAAGCTTAAATTTGGGAGCTACCTCTGTCTGGCTGTCTCTGCATAGTGCATACTAGTACCATATTCCAATTGTTGTGTCGTCTCAAGTCTTGGTCCCATAAATAGCTTTGCTCATATCTCGTGTGATTTTCATATGAAGAATGCATGTGGTCTCAGTTGTCAGTTATCGGTAGTCATTTAAGCTATGTACACTGATGGCTAATAAGAAATGAAGTAAAGCAAGTTTTCGTAATTCCAAATGTCTCCAATACCTGAGTCACGGAATTATATCAACTTCAGTTTTAGGTGTTTTAAAATAAAGGATTGAGGATCAACAATACTTTAACGTACTAGTGTAATTTAAATTTATTTTCAGAACTATTTATACAATCTTAATGTAATGAATTATCGTGCACACTAGCTAGCTACATACGTATAATTCATAATTTAATAAAATTTGAACACCATCCTTTAAGGAAAATGTGCCCTACAAATTTACTCCCATCATCCAAGTTGCATTACTATTTAATTAACAATAATCTTTCACCATAGTATTTAGTAACTGAGCAAAAGCCGGCAGAAGGTCTGTAAATTCTAGAGCAAGTGGAAAAATCTAAGCTGGTTATTCAACTTTTCTTGCCCTGCTTTCAAATTAATTCGAACCCACAGCAGGTCTCTCAAAAATCTAAATAGAATATAGGAATTGTCTTGCCCCTTATATATCTTTTCCTATTCGGGTGGAGCACCTCACGCATCAAAAATCCCACAGAAGGTAGTAACAGCGGAAGATTTAAGGTATAACAGCCATTGATACATCAAGTTAAATTTTCCTATGATTCTATACATTATTTGAAGCAGTATACACTACAATAAGGAACAAAATCTTGTACCCCGGTCAAATAGTGAGAAAAAGAGAAGGGGCAAGTCAAGTCAGTTATACACGAAACCCAAATGCTGTCACTGGAAGTACCCTAACAAACACTTCCAATATCCTCTGTAGTCCATTCCTTTGATAATAGCAAATGTTTACCCTGGGTCCAAGCGCAAGATTTAATTGACTGAGGCACACTGCATTTAATTGTATTAGGTCCTCATCACGGGCAAAAGTACTTCTGAACCAATCATCGTTGGCAGCATCATGCAGCAGCCTCCACCATCACCATTACCAGCTTGATTAGATTTATATGTTTTTTTCTTAACCGTCTCTTTTTTCATCATCATGCTTCTAAAGCCCAAGTATTTCCGACAGAAGTAGTTTATCTATACGTGGATTCACAGTATGTGAGCTGGACACGGATCACCCAACGCAACTTTTAGTTGCGTGAATCACAAAAGAATGTTGATCAAGGAAATAAAACCAAACATGCACTACATCTCATGGAGTTTTCAATCTTTCACCTGATCCAACTTCTAGTTTCTTGAGGAATGGGATCCTCAAGTTGTTCATTGAACTTAATATTTCTTCAGCTTTGCTTTCGTTTCCCGCAGATTTGTAAAAATGCACAGCTGCACTCAGGATAAACCCGTCGCTTTTTGTTGATTCATATATACTTTCGAAAAAGTTTATTCCTTCCTTCACACATCCACATTTCAGGTAACCATTCAGCATTGTTCGGTAACATACGAGATCAGGAATTAAACCAAAAGTAGATAGCTTGTCATAAACCCTCTTGGCTTCATCAATCAACCCAGCTTTTGTGAAAGCGTGGAGTAAAATATTAAAATGAACACAAGATGGTGGAATGCCTTTGCTCTGCATATCATGTATGGTTTCCTCCGCTTTAGAATAATTCAGGCTCCTTGTATATGCTTGGACAAGGGAAAGATACGTGAAAGAATCGGGCAAACAACCTTGTCTCTGCATGGCCTGGAAAAGTTTCTCCGTTTCATTAAGAACTCCAGCATTAGCATAGACGTTGATCATGATATTGTAACTCACCTGCATTCCCCAGCAAAGGAAAAGAATAAGCAATAAAATGGGCATTTCAACAATTATAAACTATAAAAAGCATAAAATATAAAGTACTCCTTGCTGTTAAATGCAGGAAATATGATATTGCAGAACAGGTGAACCATAAATAACTATTTGCGTCTGACTACATAACCCCTATATGATTTATACATAGATCCTAATTGGAATATTTTAGAGATATAATTTAATGAACAAAGTGATCATAAACAAGAAATAAAAAATAAAAAATAAAAAAAAGGGACCAGTGCTGGAGATATTTTGGGCCTATAGTACAGCTTAAGCTTTTGAATAGAAGTAATTCAATTATACCTACAAGAATTGCCAACTATATACTGAACAACTATATATTGAATAAAAGTCTTGAGAATCTTGATAATAAAAATCAACCATACCTTTCCAGGTTTTATACCTTCTTCCTGCATTTTACTGAACAACTGTGAAACTTCAAGCATCATACCTACAAAATAAAATAATTATGGGTTTGATTGCAATGCTGTAGGAAATACGCATCATGAGAAATAGAGAAAAACTAAACATCAATCATCATACAGACTTGAGAAATCAAAGTGCTAGTCCCATCATGTTTTCACTCTCCCTTTTATATTCAAGTAGATATTAATGAAGAAAATTATGAACATGATATGTTGCTTTCACAATTATCAGAAATCATCTAGGTTAAGGTGAAAAGGCTCGGTACCAGCTTTCCCATAGTAGCCAATCAAATTCATGTATGTTTTTTCATCCAAAGAGACACCAAATGAGCTAGCTTTGTTGAAAATCTCCACTGCTTTATCCAACTTTTGGTCTTGTCCATAGACACTGCACCAGCAGTATAACATTATGTCTAAAAGGTGTTTGTGAGGGGGGTTCAGGTGAAAGACAGCCTATCAAAACTATAACCTTATCATGGTGTTGAATGTTTCAATTGATGGAGCAAAACCAGAGGAGCACATGCGCTCAAAAATGCTGGATGCAAAATGCAATTTTCCTACACCACAAAACAAACTATAAGCAAGTTTCCTGTTTCATTTTTTTTTTGTTTGTTTTGTATGCAGGATGCTTGATATCAACCTGCTTCAAGCATGGCTTTGATAAAGGTATTATAAGCCACAGTGTCAAGCTCCAAATTTTCTTCAAGACTCCTGCGAACAATATTCTCTGCCTCCTGATGTTTTCCTGAAAAAGAAATAGGCATAGAATTATCTAAAAAATGCTAAATAACTACATGCTAAAGAGATAAGCAACAAATGCTCCAGTCACTTCCTCATTTTCTGAAACTAACATTTATATGATTTTTCAAACAATTCTATGCTATCAAAATAGACACTTGTACAAAAAATCTAATTCTCATGCACTAAATGCAATAGCAGGCCAGCATCCCCTAGTACTCTTGGAAAAGCTGAAAAGAAGCCAACTATAGAAGAATTTCGTAGTGCTTTTTGTTTGAGGAAATTTGAAGGGGCAAAATTCCTCCCCTCCCATATCTGTTTCTCATCCAATATTGTGGATATGGTGGGGAGGAGAAAGTGATTTATAAATTTTGGAGTCTTGAGATTCTATTTAACCACCTTTCCCCTCCCATTAATACTTTTAAGAGTATAACAATATATAACTATTATTATTTCCCTGTCCCTTTGCTAACCAAACAAAGGGACCCTCTCTTCCTCTCCTTTGAACCAATGGTAGTGTGAGATAAAAGGATAAGAGAGATTGTAGAATAAGATTTTCCTAAATAAAAAAAGGAAAGCCAAGCAAAGGAGATAAAAACCATCAATGAAGCAAAGCTACCAGTCCTTAAACATTTTTGCAAGTGAAACTGAAACCCCTCTAAAGGTACCCCGAGATTTACATCAAGTAGAGCCAAATGCCCAACTTGTACACAAGAAGCGGCTCACTCCATGAGATTTATCTGAAGAAATAAGAATCAAGCTCCAATCATATGCCTCAAAGGATAGCATAGACAGCATATCACAATTTTATTTTTTCGGCTTCTTTGCTACCACCAAAACCGGAAAAACTGATAATCAGAAATTGATCCAAGGACTTAGGACACACCAAACACACTCTGAAGATGCTAAACAATGAATCCCTTCATGAAACAGCTACAGAACAGTGCAATTAAAAAAAAATGAATTTAAGACTCTGAGCTTGCAGCACAGTGAGCACATATACATGACACACATTAGATGAACTAGTGTTGTGTGACCTGCAAACCTGCAATATGTCATTGATGCTAATATTATTATGCTCATCTGACCAAATAAAGGAATTTGTCTTAGCGGGAACTGTGGACTTCCAAATAGGTTTATCAAGACACAATGTAATTGTGTTTAGAGAATGAGTTAGGAATTGGAAGGATTTAGACCAAAACACTTGGATTAAGAGACAAATATTTTGATCTGGACATGAGGACGCAGAAACAGAGTAAAAATGCCCAAAAGAGACTCCAACTCTGAGGCTTCCATATCATTCAAGTTACAAAAAGGTGAAAATTTTCTAGAAAAGAAAAGAGTGGAATCTTTAACATTATAGAGATTGTGGATAGAAGAGCTGTGTAAGAAAGATAAACAAAAAAGGCATGGGAAAGCCAAACCAAAAGAGCAATCTCCCTTGTTCTACTACCTTCAAGGAGAACAAAGTACAACTTAAAAGATAAATAAAATTTCCAAGGACAAAAATGAGCTGCCTGGGAATCTGCAATGTATTATAGTGGGCCCAAGGAAAACTGCCTAAGTTATAACTAAAGAAAGGCACATAACAAGCAGAACATAGGCTATGTTTGAATTTGCATGTAGTCACACTGAATGCCAATCCAATGTAAGAGGATTGGTTCAATGTGCATTGGAAAGTGGGAAATGGGGGGTTAAGCGGTTTTTCAAACACAAACATAATCAGTTAAATATTCCACAGATTAAACGAAACTGGGATAAACTGACACTATGTAAAACCACTACTGTATTGAGCTTTTACGGAGCACTTTCCAAACAAAAAAGTTATAGATTGTGCTGTGGAAGACAACAATTATTGTCTTGCAAGTGTCAGGTTGATATATGGAACAGACTCTAGTTTACTTTTCCAGGGTCATACCTCCATTGGTCAAAGAATTTACGGCAATGCTAATTCCAACAGCACCCAAATCACATCCTTCCTCTGTTACTTGTTTGTATAGTGAATATGCTTTTTCTTGTTTACCACATTTGGCATATGCATTGATCATAGAGTTATACAGTAGTTTACTAGATGTGGGAGAATTTACATATTCTGCAAAGATATCTTCCGCTTGTTTCAGCATTTGTTGTTTGCCATAATGGCTAATTAGAGATGCTACAGTGGCTTCTTCCATTCTGCAGCCAAGCTTAATTAATTGATGGTTAAGCAATTCTGCTTTACTGATTTCTCCTGGAAAAAGAAAAAAAAATATTGAAAATGTGTCAAAAAGATATCACAGAATGTGGTATGATCAATTTTATAGAAGAGGCATACCATCTTTAGACAAGCTGATGATGAGCTGACTAACAATTTTTGAACCCCCAGCAGCATAACCCAACAACTTCAGTAATATTTTAGTTTTGTTGAAGCTTCCATTTGTCAGGTATAAACTGAGCATCAGCCCTAGAGCTGTAGCATCAAATTTGTCAACAGGCTCAATGGCCGCAAGTTCATTATCAGATTGCGCATCCCCCTTATGTTCACAAAGAATCCAATAAAATGTCATCAAGAACTTGTCATTTTTAAAAGATTCATTCTTAAACATCTGATTTGTCAACTGCTCAGCTTCTGGCAGCATTCCCTCCTTACAATAAACTTTCATAACTGTTCTATAAAGCTCCTTGTCAAAATGTGTCCCATCCTCCCTTATTCGGACAATGAACTCCTTAGCCTTATTCATCAAATTAAGTCCCATGTACAGACTGAGCATATCATTACAAGAACCAGCATCAGGTGGTCCTGTCTTGGAGAGAGCTACAAATGTTCCTTCAGCAGATATTACATCTTCTTTCATCACATAACACTGCAGCAGCACAATATAAGCAAATCGAGAGAGCCATAGGTTGCTAGACTTCATGAGTTCAATAACTTCCAAGGCTTTGTCTACATTTCCTGAAGTAAGATGGACTTGTGCCATTGCCAAATATGTTTTCTCACTACTGAGTAGGCCCCGCTGCTTTGTCTCTTCAAATGTTTTGTGAGCATCCTCATACAAACCAAGTTTGCCATAAATTCTTATAAGCAAACCATATATGACTTCATCAGCAGAAATTTTATTGCGTACCATTTCTGAAAAAAGGGACAGGGCTCTAGGGTAGTCCTCATATTTGTAATACAAAGATAGAAGTGAAGCACAAGTGTAATTACTAGGAATTATTCCTTGAATCCTCATATTCTCATACAGTCTTTGGACTCCATCTCTGTTGCCAATTTTAGTATTTAAATTTATAAGAAGGCTATAAGTTACCTCCTCGGGAACAATTCCATTATTCCTCATCTCATCAAAAGTCTTGAAAGCATCTTCGTGCAGCCCTTCTTTGATAAGAGAGCTGATGGCGACTGTATAAGTAAAACTATTAGGTATCACCCCTTTTTCTAACATATCCTTCCACACCTCTACAACCTCTCTATGGAGTGATTTCTTTTGCAAAGAAGACAACATAAAGTTGAAGACAGCAACAGAGAGAAATATTCCCCTTTCTTTTACAGCGGAATAAAAGGACAGCATAGCCTTATGACGTCCCCATCTGGCATATGAACAAAGCATGGTACCACAAGCAACTTCATCAGGCTCACAATCTGCATCAAGCATCTCCAAGAAGATCTCCTCAGCCAGTTTCAGCTTTCCAACTTGGCCATACAGGCGCAACACTATTGTGTAGACAATTACACTTGGACGGTAGCTCAGCTGTTGAGGCACCAAACTATCAATACACCGTATCAATCTCCATACTTTGGATTACAAATAAAATATGGTTTATAAATTATAATCGAAAGCATAATTCAGGCGACATAAGATAGAAATGAAGAAAGAGAGTGAGAGTGGAACCTGCAATTTCATCCAAGCAAAGAAGTCTCTGACCTGCCTCCACCCCTTTTGCTCCTTGAGCACAGTGCACATCTCCTTGAAGGTGAGCTTGCCGACGAAGGAAGCCATCTCCATCCGCATGTCGTAGTCTCCGTCGTGTCTCTGAGAGAGAGAGCGGACTCTCTTGATGGCGGCGACGACGTGCCTGCCGTACAAGTGGCCGTTGCGGTCGTCCTGCAGGTACTGCACCATCTGCTCGGGGGTCCTCTTTATCCACCGCGGGGTCTGCGCCTGCGGGCCCTGGTTCCGCCGCAGAACGCTCAGGTACGCCGCCTTGCTCTTTATGATGCGCCGCGCGTTGTCGTCCGACAGCGGCTTCTTCGGGCTCCTCGTCCTGGGCTTGGGCCGCGCGGGGTCGCCGGAGCTCGGGGACCATGGGTCGCGCTGGACGGAGCAGCGGATGAGAACGTGACGGGGTTTCTTCTTCTTGAAAGGCGGAGGGACAAGTGGAGTGGAGAATATGAAAGGGGATTTCAAACACTCCATTTTGGTGTAGCTCTAACAAGTAACCAAACCACCACTTCTTAATCACCTACAAAACCTGTCCTGGATATTTTTTTATTTTTAAATATTAGTGGTGTTAATCTTATACATATACTACAATACAAAAATGCCTCTCTCACACTCTTTAAAAAATTACTATTTCTTTATTTTTAATAAATTAAAATATATAACTGTTTGTAATTTGTATGATATATTTAGACAAAGGCACCTCTCTAATTTCCTGTATCTGATTTTTATATTATTGTTTATTAAAATTATAAGACACTAAAATACAAATACTAGATCAAAAATAAATATGAACATAACCTATGATTTTTTAGATAATTGTTTTTAATTAATTTTTTTACTTTAAAGAGAACGTATAGTATATGCAAGGCCACACAATTATTAAAAATAAATACTAACAATATATTTTTAGAAAAATTACTTTTTGAAAATTACGTGTGATGAAATTGATGAAATATATATATATATATATATATATATATATATATATATATGTATATGTATATATGTCACAAAAAG